TATTAAAACATCTTACCTATGGGCCAGATTTTTTCACCTTATTAATTCGGTTAATTTAGAGCGTTATTTACGTTTGCTCAAAACTCATACTTTTTGAGAGTCCACAGTGGGCGGAATCAGTTTCGACTATTGGCGAGTAAAACTTCATTTCAAAATCCATTTGTTTTGGTTTGCAAATAACATATATCAATGCCTATAACTATTCTGACACTTGACAAAATTCTTTAAACGTTTAATAAAAACAATACAAATTGCTTCATTTCATCCTTATGATCAAAGTTTGAAATGAATGAAAAAAATAAATAAAATATAACACTGAAGATGAAAACGATTTATCAATGAAACAAGTGCCACGAACATATATACGATGTAGATATATTTGAGATGACTTCATGTGTAGCGTCAATGTTGAAATGCAACATGAACGTACAGGAAACATTTGAGTTTTCACACAATAGCTAAATTGAGAGGCATATCTTGCTAAACCAGGTTGTTTTCAAGAGCAAATATATATAATTGTCCATGTCTTTTCACAACACCTTTACAGACCAATATGTGCACACGTTGCGAAGTTTATTCTATAATTCCTATCACAGTAAACAAGGTTGTTCAATGACACACATAAAACATCAATATTTTTAAACGCTAATTTTACATGACAAACAAGTTAATGCACAGTTCGACACCCCAAGTGATTAAAAACAATCAATTCAAGATTTCGATAGAATTTGAGATAATTAACTACAGTGGAATCTGTCAAATCCGGACACTTTGTAAAACGGTTTTCTCCATAATCCGGACTACCCTCTGAGTCCCGGCAAAATTATTCTTAATTTATCATTAAAGCTTGCTCTATTATCCGAACTCCCTCAATTACGGACTAAAATAACCGTCCCGACAATCAACTTACTAAGAGAACGGAAATTGCTCTGGATCAGTGTCCACCCTACTCTACTCTGTTCATACCAGCAGTATGGGCACAAATATAACTTTCAATTTTAACTTTCTTATGAGTGTTGTGCCATTAAGAAATATTCAAAACGTAAATGCAGTAATATTTATTTCTTTAAAATTTGTCGAACGTCGATAGTCTATTCCCGGTCTGACAGCTTCTCGAGGCCAACCGGGAGGACAAAGACGACAATCACCTTCACATTCTTTAAGTCGATATCCTGTGGTGTAACCGGTTATGGTGCTTGTCCATTTTGTCCTTAAAATAAAAATAAAAAATACATAAGAGAATACACACACACAAATACCTACCTACCTACCTACCTACCTACCTACCTACCTACCTACCTACCTACCTACCTACCTACCTACCTACCTACCTACCTACCTACCTACCTACCTACCTACCTACCTACCTACCTACCTACCTACCTACCTACCTACCTACCTACCTACCTACCTACCTACCTACACTATTACAATTTACTGCCATAGAATGCATCTGTCAAGCGTAGAGCGTGACTTTCATCAGTTTACCCTCAGCTAGCTCAAAAATGGTTCACTGGATCTCAAAATCAGTCGTGTGTAACGATGCGGTAAATTGACATTTCTATAGCCAATTAAGCTATAGTGCGTATCAGATTTCGGGTCTCCGGTAAGGCAGAATTGTGACCCTCGCATAAGGATATAAAGCTAATTAACACTGAAAGTGAGATATATGCACAGTATCAATATAAATGTATAAAATATAACAAATAAATGTAGTGTAATAATAAGGAATATTTTGATGTTGGCCTGACTGGTGGTTGTGTTGTCTTGCAAACTTGACAGGGATGTCATTCTTGGTGTTCAAAGTAGCAGGACAGCCGCTTGTATTTTCTAGATATCTCCAGTATATCGTCTCCTTGTAAGTGTCCTTCGTTGTGTACTATATACGTCAGTAATATACGTCCACCTTTAGGATTAGGTAGAAACTTGACCTAAGCGTTAGCATTAGCCATGGTGAATGATGTCCAAAACACTTCATACTGACCTTTATATCTACATCAAATTGTACATTGTTCACAACTTAAAAAAACACCCAAAGTGAACAAAACTCATCAAATCAAATTGAACAATAATCACAGAGTTAAAACAACACTTTAAAAACATTTCAAATCTTAAAAACACTAAGTGAACCAAAATCATCAAAATCTAAGTGAACACAGTTCACAAAATCAAACTTTATTTACCTGGTGAACTTATTTGAGTGAAGTTATTTGAGTTAGCTTTCACTTAGTGAACATAGTTCAGATACAGACTATAATCCCCCAGCCCTAATCCCCTTACTCCCTTGAATTTCAGTTTTGTTCTAGCTGAGGACACACCCTTTCATTACATGCCATTGAGTATTATTATATTAGACCAAATATGTATAAAATGAATATCCTATTTAACACCAAGAAACTAGCAACTTTAAGAAAACTCTCAATTTTGTAAAATAATTATGGCTTTATTTAAGAAATAATTTCAATAACTTAATATGTAACTAGCTCGATGTACATTGCACCTATCACACCGTTCGTATATACTTTTTATGTTGTATATAAATGTAAATATTATTTATGTACCTCTTTTGCTGCAGTTTGCAGGCTGAGTGAATAAAAGTTCAGTTCAGACGATGACAAGAGGCATTTTACAACCGTTATAAACATTTGGCAATCGTTAAGACGTCCGCTTGACTATCATAACAAACAGACAATAGCAGAGCTGAAAGTCAAAGCGAACAGTTAAACTCAAAGAAACATATACATTTTACAACAATAACAAATAATAGAATCCCATGACACTTGGTAATAATATCACTTGAGTGAGGGTGGTAATGTTACAGCAATGTAGTGCATATGCATTCGATCGGGCGTGATAAGCGAACACTTCCACAAGGCCACGCTGACAATCATAACATATACTGCCTTAGCGAACACTAGAACTAGATAGCGGTCGCTTTGCAAGCATAGGATGTCGGTCGCATGGCAACCATAGCGTACAATTGACAATCACAGATTGTTGGTCGACATTCTAGGAGTTGGTGAGTTAATAATGAGCATATGACTGAATGATGTTTAGCTGTTAGCTTAATAATGAATTCTGAAACGTTGCACTATGCAATAAACAAAAAGTTGTTTATCCGTATAGACGTATGCTTCATTATTAACCAAAACAGACTTGACTATCACAACAAACTGTTGAATAATCTATGATTGTCACTGAGATACCGCAGTGTGTACAGCCGTGGAAAACAGATTCAGCCAGTCCCCGACATGGTGCCAGGTTATGTTTGTCTGTAACACACAATTGATATCAGAAGATGACTGATATTATGTGACGAAACGCCCAGTCAACAGATACAACATTTCAAGTCAAGTGAAATACCTGTATCGAGTGCATCTGTGCCAGCCCAAGAAACCGCACTTTGTCGTGTACCTCTGCCTGATGGAGACACGTTTCCCATAGATCCTGTGACATATATGTATGAAGACATTCAGTGAGATAAATACATCCCGTCCCTGTATGTGTATGTCACAAGCCTGATAGTAGAATAGAATGAGACAAGTTCATCATATATATACTCAAAAGCAACAGTAAGTGTGATCAACATATTTGTTTATATTAATGATAAAATATTTATAACGCATTTTAATATTCTATATAATACTTAATCCATAACCCATACAGGGTCCTGTCGGTAGTTTTTGTTTTGCATGCGTTTTTCGTGCTATCAAGAAGTCCGTGGAAAAAGGCATAAAACGAGCCGAGTAAAACGTGTGGCTCTAAACCTTGAATCATTGTCACCCAAAATCATTGTTTAGATGTCGACCGGTCCGAAAAGCACAAATTTGGAAGAATCTGCTTGCATTTCTCTATGCCAAGGCTAACTGAAAGGAAAGATGGCAAACCATTGGAATGCTTAAAACCGGAACATCCCAGCGCAACGTTGCACAGTAGTTTACGTGCACAGGAACACCATATGCCGCTTGTGGAGACCGTCCCTGCCACACTGACAACCCGAACAGTTCCTGGTGTCAACAGGACATCGCCAAGGACCATTTGCCGGCGTTTTGCTGCACATACATGCGAGACGTCCTGCCAGCTGACAAATTTTGACATTATGTCACCAACGTCTACGACTGCAGAGGTGCAGACAACATCTGCGGTGGAGAGCACGTGGGTGAAGATATGTTCTCTTCACTGACGAGTCCAGATTAACGTCTTTCCCTGGCCCGCTGAATCTCCAGATCTGTCGCCTATCGAACACGTCTGGGACGGAATGGAGAGGAGATTGAGATGTTGGCCAAATCCCCACGGTTCAGGAACTCCGCCAGGTGCTTCCACAAATATAGAATGCCATTCCACAAGACTTCTTGCTACGTTTGATTCGCTCCATAAGGCGCAGGTGTCAAGCATGCGTCAATACTCATGGTGAACACATACGTTATTGACTGAATTGAATTTCATTTTGACCGTTCTCTTACTGTGACCTCATTGTGTCCGCTAGAATAGTATACAATGTGCCATTTGCAATCCTATTGTGGAATGATTTTCTTGCATTATTAAAAAAGTATCATCATGAAAATATCAGTTGTTAATTCGCATATCTAGCTTCAAGTCAATGACCCTAACTTTTGCCTTTGAGTATACCTACATCATCATGTGTATAAATACATGCACATTCACGGAATTCTGTGTACATGAATAGTACTGTGGATGGTTGCAGTCAACGCGTGTTTAACTAAACTAACGGGCAAAAGAAACAACATGTTGCCCATACACTTGATATTAAATTTCACTACCCTTTTTCACAATGGTGGTTTGTCGTTGTGTAGTATCAGTGATTTTCACTTGGTATCGCGTCTTTTGCCTTTAGTATATTTGTAAGGAATGAGTTGATGCATAATATTTTCAATTTGTCATTACACTGTATTTAATTCTTTTAATGACACTAACCATTACTATCCCAGTTATTATAAAAGTTCATTCTTCATGTAAATGGTATGAAACCTAATACTCACGGCCGCCTGTAGCTCACCCTCTCTCTATTGCATTCGCAGCGACAACCACTCCCTGGAACTGGAGAGATTAAAGTTATATTCACTCGTGTCCTTTCTAGCATGCAGTATAACATAACAACTGTAATGCATAAAAGCACAATTTCACCCATTTTCGACAATATGCTGGCCTATATCATACACATTGGGGCAAATGCAATCACTTTAGTTTCCTATTGATGCGAAAAAAAGGACTTTATCATCCCTTACGACTTACCTGAAATCGATAATAGGTTGCGTTTCAGGATATTCGTAAAGTGCGCTCCAAGGGACATAACTCTTGATATAATGTTTGGCCGGTAGAGGGCGCGAGAGTCGATTTAATGCAACGTTACATTAATTCATTCTTTTTAATCAAATATTGTGAACTAAATGCGTAATTGTTTTCGGAATAAATTACACGGTAGTTTCCCAAAGGGCTAATAGTTAGTGTTATTGAGAGAAATTCATTATTTATCTATAGAGAAGTGTGGTGAGAAATAGTGCCTTTAAGAACCATCTATGTGAGTGAGTGTTCTATGCACATGCAAATTCCTACAGGTGGATACATGTCCTTATATCATTGATGTAACAGCGGCGGAAAATATCATAACGTTTTAACTTCGCCATTACATAACAGTTGTGATTAATCATCCCTTTCGACGAGACAAGTATTACAGGCAAAAGGTATTATCTTTCAAAATGTTCTGTTATTTACAGGGAATCACTGATATATTAGTGATGACGTCTCGCTGGTATATTAGGTAAAGAACATATATATATATATGAAGTTTTGTGAAATATCTCTAGGGGTTAAATTTAAATCTACACACTTTCCTTCACAACAAAAGTCTTCCTTCGCTATTCAGTGACAAAACGGCATACTGTACTGCTATAAATTGTATAAGTAAGAAAATAAAATCCATGACTGTGCAACCTAATTTTGAGATTGCTGTTATAAGAACCATAACATATATGTTTAGGAACCTAAAATGTAGAAAATAGGACCGACATGCACAATAAGTGTCACTCACTGTCAAACACGAAAGCTCTCAATATATCGCAATACGTTTCGAAATACGGGCACCTAAATCGCCAAATATAATTGCAATACAATTTATTTACCAACACACACACACAAGCATGCACGCACACGCACGCACGTACGCACGCACACGCACACACGCACACACACACACACACACACACACACACGTGCGCGCGCGTACACGCATGTACATCTGATGGGTTTAAAAAGTATTGCCAGGTGTCTATGACATGTCACATCAACCAGGATGTTTAAACAAACTCGGGATAGCACAATCCCCTCCTCTAAACTAAATAAGCGCCGTATGTACATAGGGCGCGATAGGTAGGCAGATGCTTTATGGGAGTGTATCCTGCAACCTGACTGGATGAAGCAAGGACATATTCTGAACTACTCTGCGTATGAAACCTTTACCAACATAGTGTAAAAGCATAATGTTTTTCCCCTTTCCAAATGAAATACAAAGTAATATGTTTCTCAGACAAGGCGTCTTTGGAAATAGGGCTATGAATATTAACCAATTTTGCTTTTCAATGCGATTCCTCCATGTTGTCACATTTCTCAATATCTGTATTATCATTCTGTTCAGTTGCCATAGCATCAAATAATACCACACATGACGTCATGGACACACACCTCCTACAGCTGACTACACCGAGAGAATGCATTGTCGACGGCTTTTTTCCACAGGGCCTTGTATTGCTCAAAATAATTAGTCTTTGGTTCAACCCTTGTTCACTGATAGCCATATAAATAAGTAAATGGACGTAATGCTTACAAATATCCCCTATCTTTTCTTGGCAAATTTGGGTGGGGGATTACAGAATACACAGCCGTGATTCGTACAGAATTAAAGCCAGATAAATCTCCGCTCGATTAAATCCAACATTATCAAAATCGGTTCACTATTTTTTCCGAGTAACTTAGCATGGAGCTCGGGAAAAGACAACCCCTTTCAATGGTACGCCAAAAACATGTTTAAGTATTTCAATGAAAACCCGCAATCGAAACATTGAGAAACATGACCTTTTTGTAATCGCTAGATATTCTGCTTTTGTATTCTAACCTCTCATATGAAATAAGTTATTGATTTTACCTGCCACACACGTCATTAGAAAAATAAAGGGTTCGAGTCCACTATCTTTGTCCTTCACCTTCAATAGGCTCGCACCAACGACGAGCTGCTCGCTGATTGGCCATAAATAGAATGACTGTATTTTATATTTTCTCAGGCATGCTTTTGGCCATTCTCTTCCCACAGAGGTTACTCCTGTCATATCTTCCTACGTAACCTCTGTTCTAATACGGCCCTTTCATGGTGTGAGCGTTCAAGACTCGTGATTGGAGGCAATCAGATTTAGTTGTGCAATCAGCGACGTTGTTTCAAAAGTGGTCATTCGCAAGGCCTCGGTAATTTCGGTATACTTCGAGAAAACTAAACCTCTTCCCCTGCGCGATGCGCAAACGTTTCTTCTAGACAGAACTCAGTCATGTTATGGCGGATCAGTGGCGTCTCCATTGCCCTCGTTGACAACGGACAAGCTAGCCATTAAACGTCTTGTGTGTAACATCAACACAAGTCCCCGGCAGATGGGGGATATTTGTGGCCTCACAATTGCTTGTGTTAGTCAAGTTGAATCTAAGTCGATGTAACATGTGTTCTGATTGGATAGAAAGAAGGGAGATAATTCGTGTTGCGATCTTTTGCCGCTAGGGGATTTTACGAGAACCGGGAAATATGGCCGTATTAGAACAGAGGTTCGTAGGAAGATATGACAAGTAACCTCTGTGGGAAGAGAATGGCTTTTGGCGTACAAATTAAAAAGTTGTATAAACTTACACGAGCTGAACATTGTTTTTGTTATTTTTAATGTAACATATTGCACCAAATCCATGTTGCAGTGTCACGTTTAATAATGTCGTAACGAATCTAAGTTGTGGCTACTCCATAATACTTACACACGACATTCCAGTCAACACCGTTATGTCGAAGTTGAAGGGACCTACGCTTCATGTATTCCTATGTCTGATACAACCGTAATTGATTACTTGATGAGGCATACGACCAGGGCCCTTATTCTCGAAACGTTCGTAGCCCTAAAAATTCTTAACTTTTATCGTAGCCAATGTGTTAAGAATGGGCTTAAGAAGTTCGTAGGGCTTAAGAAGTTTCGAGAATAGCTAGCCAGGTTTCTACTTCGAGACAAGGGTTCATTCAACAGATCGACACAACTGGATTTGACTGAATATTAAAATCAACAAGTCCGTAACAACAATTAATCTATTAACACTTGGCCATACTTACGGAGTTTTGAATGCACGGCTTCGATGAGGACAGCCACCGAGAGCAAGAGAAGGAACCACTTCATCCTGGCGATCATCTTGACGAATGTGATGTCTGGATAAACACCTAAAAATATACCCAGGTAAAACCCGGATGTTTGCTCTGTTACAGAGTGCACGTATGTTGGACCAGCTAACTCAATCCACAGTTGTTAACTAATTCGACGCAGAGCTTGATGTTATTTAGCAAGGGTTTGCAAGGTACAATTTGATATTTTTAAAATGTTTTTATTCCTCAGCCATGTAGTTTACATTGTCTCATTATTACCATTTAAAGATTTCGGTCACGTGTTCTTTTTCTACGTGTCGCAGATACCACTATTAAATATTACGTGAAGCTATTATTTACGAATAAAGATCAATGCTGGTGTTGTTGTCCACGCTGTTTGGCTAGTTATTGTGACTGGAATTGACTTACTTGCCAAATGCAATAAATGCCGTAACGAATAACACGTGGTCGTACAAATACAAACTGAATGAATCCTTAAAATAATTAAGATATAAATATGTATGATGGGCAATGTTTATGTAACTATGTTAGTACATTAGAAGTTAAATTCCACAGTTGGTAGATCCTCAGTTGTCTTTTAATATCAGCTTATGTTCCTTATTTCAAATAATAAGATGAACATCCTAACATCCTTGCCTGTCTTGCTTGTCGTAAGAGGCGACAAACAGGATTGGGTGGTCAGGCTCGCTGACTTGGTTGACACTTGTCATCATGTCCCATTTGCGTAGATTGATCGTCATGCTGTTGATCACAGGACTGTCTGGTCTAGACCTGATTTTTAACAGACCGCCGCCATATACTAGTAGCTGTGCGGCGTATAACTAAACTCAGTCACTCACTGTCATCTGTCTGTCCGTTCGTCAGCCTGTGTTTGTGTGTGTGTGTGTGTGTGTGTACACACAGATGATAGATGGAAGGTTGATGGATGGATGCATGGGTGCATGCATGATGGCATGTGTGTAAGGTTTGCAGTGAAGCATAAACTTTTATGGATAACTTGTAGATTGTTATACCGTTAAAAAAGCCCCAACAAGCTATTAAAAGACCCCAAATTGTATCTAATACGTCAAGTCTTCTCAGAAAGTAATCAAGAAGTACATCCGATTGTGAACGAAATCTACTCTAATCTAAGTTCCCGACAATTGCTCATTGAGGAAATAAATCTCCGTTTCATTGTTGCACGACAGACGCCAAGTAATTGTGAACCAGCTATAGTTGTGAAATACTTCCGTGTGAAACTTCCCAACAAACTGTCAAAGAGGGCGTGAATCACTTGAAGTAGACAGGCTATGTCATTGAGAAGTGAATCGAAACACAGCACACTGCTATTATTGTATTGTACCGGGAGTATTTTGTGGAGCCACACAAGATTTATCCATAGTCAGTTACCAGAAGGTGAGTACATGAAACTTGATTTCCTTTTAATTTTTTACTCCGGTTATTCCCTTTTGAACACGTTTGTTTCTCTAGTTTTGCTAATGAGTGCTTTTGTGTTGCTTTCATGTGTTTGTTGTGTGGGTCAGTGTGTTTAACGTGAAGGACGTTACCTGTTACCGTTGGCTTTTACGATGTAAGCTGAGGCGGTGGGGTAGCCTAGTGGTTAAAGTGTTCACTCGTCAGGCCGAAGACCCGGGTTCAATTCCCTACATGGATACAATGTGTGAAGTCCATTTCTGGTTTCCCCAGCCCGGGTGTTGCTGGAATAGTGCTAAAAGTGGCGTAAAACCATACTCACTCACTCTTCATGTAACTACATACGCAACTGCATAAGTTTTGATTCTGATAACTACATTTTGTACTTAGGTGCACATATTTACCAGCACACCTACTTCCCCTTTCGATATCAAGAGAACTTTAATAATATAAAGATGCAGTGAGACCGTCTAAATTCCGGGCGGTGACGTAAAACCATACTCACTCACTCCCATTGTATTCAAGGTGGTTCATGTTTCAGTCAGTGAACCATGTGAATTATTACTTGTAGGAACCGTTGCTTAGATTGGTAAAAACATACCACCACATATCATGTATAATAATGCCAAAACACATCTGCCTAATGAATGAAATACCAGTCAATAGATACCATTCTTTAATTCATTTACACACTCATAAACATAAACACAACCCCCTGTCTACAATTTGATACAATCCCTAAATCTTAACATAACAGTATAATCCTGCCATATACAGAAACAAACAAAAATGCAAATGCAAATACAACTAAGTCATTCTGATATTTGAATTGAGAACTAAAGCTGTAATCCTTACGCCTGGTAAAGTTTGATGGTGTAAAGAAGTCCTATACACCGGACATGACAAGCTTATTGTCTCTAAGTTTGGGTACAGTTGGAGGCCTGCTCAATACGGAAGATGTCCAAAGCCACATCATGATTTGCAGGCATGGCGACTGTCCTGGTGTAAACACGTTTTCAGTGTTTTCCCCATCACGTTCAGCCTTGATATTCCAATGCAGTAGCCTGAGTAGATTAACATAACATTGACTATTGGTGATCTTACCTTTAGAAACCCATGCAGTAGCCTGAGTAGATTAACATAACATTGACTATTGGTGATCTTACCTTTAGAAACCCATGCAGTAGCCTGAGTAGATTAACATAACATTGACTATTGGTGATCTTACCTTTAGAAACCCATGCAGTAGCCTGAGTAGATTAACATAACATTGACTATTGGTGATCTTACCTTTAGAAACCCATGCAGTAGCCTGAGTAGATTAACATAACATTGACTATTGGTGATCTTACCTTTAGAAACCCATGTAGTAGCCTGAGTAGATTAACATAACATTGACTATTGGTGATCTTACCTTTAGAAACCCATGCAGTAGCCTGAGTAGATTAACATAACATTGACTATTGGTGATCTTACCTTTAGAAACCCATGCAGTAGCCTGAGTAGATTAACATAACATTGACTATTGGTGATCTTACCTTTAGAAACCCATGCAGTAGCCTGAGCAGATTAACATAACATTGACTATTGGTGATCTTACCTTTAGAAACCCATGCAGTAGCCTGAGTAGATTAACATAACATTGACTATTGGTGATCTTACCTTTAGAAACCCATGCAGTAGCCTGAGCAGATTAACATAACATTGACTATTGGTGATCTTACCTTTAGAAACCCATGTAGTAGCCTGAGTAGATAAACATAACATTGACTATTGGTGATCTTACCTTTAGAAACCCATGCAGTAGCCTGAGTAGATTAACATAACATTGACTATTAGTGATCTCCCCCTTTAGAAACCCATGCAGTAGCCTGAGTAGATTAACATAACATTGACTATTGGTGATCTTACCTTTAGAAACCCATGCAGTAGCCTGAGTAGATTAACATAACATTGACTATTGGTGATCTTACCTTTAGAAACCCATGCAGTAGCCTGAGTAGATTAACATAACATTGACTATTGGTGATCTCCCCCTTTAGAAACCCATGCAGTAGCCTGAGCAGATTAACATAACATTGACTATTGGTGATCTCCTTTTAGAAACCCATGCAGTAGCCTGAGCAGATTAACATAACATTGACTATTGGTGATCTTACCTTTAGAAACCCATGTAGTAGCCTGAGTAGATAAACATAACATTGACTATTGGTGATCTTACCTTTAGAAACCCATGCAGTAGCCTGAGTAGATTAACATAACATTGACTATTAGTGATCTCCCCCTTTAGAAACCCATGCAGTAGCCTGAGTAGATTAACATAACATTGACTATTGGTGATCTTACCTTTAGAAACCCATGCAGTAGCCTGAGTAGATTAACATAACATTGACTATTGGTGATCTTACCTTTAGAAACCCATGCAGTAGCCTGAGTAGATTAACGTAACATTGACTATTGGTGATCTTACCTTTAGAAACCCATGCAGTAGCCTGAGTAGATAAACATAACATTGACTATTGGTGATCTTACCTTTAGAAACCCATGCAGTAGCCTGAGTAGATTAACAGATTCTGAAATTCTTCATGAAAATTATACAGTTCTGCCACTGAGTACCCAATTTTGAAAGTCTCAGAACATATTGCACATATATACTTAAACATAGAACCGAGAACCCAACCGTTTGAAGCATCAACATAAAAAAACAATGGGAATGAGTGAGAGAGTTTGGTTTTACGTCGCTTACAGCAATATTCACCAATATTGGGAATCGAACCCGGGTCTCCGGCGTGACGAGCAAACCCTTTAACCACTAGGCTACCCCACCGCCTCACAATAGCTATGAGAAAACAGTATTTTATTTTAGGTATGACGCCCCTAAATAAGGCAATAATACATTATACGCGTGTCAGGCAATCGTTGCCCTGTATATGAACAGGTTTAAGCTAGTGTGTTGTTGTGTTCAGGGAAGAGTTAATACTAATTGAGGATCTCTCTGTTAATGGAGTACTGAGGAAAGTCTACTTGTTACTGCTACGTGCGACGGGTCGGGAGTTCCGGGTTTCATTTCCTGATCATATGATTGGGGAAACCTTCTTTCAGTTTCGGTTCTGGAGAAACCCAGGGTAAAGTCCAAGTATAAATAATGGTGACAGGTTTTCCTTACATTATGTAGGCGTTATGAATGCCTAAAGCAGCTTGAACATTAAATTACGTATTATTAGGTCTGTATTTGTGACAACCCAAATGAATCTTAACGTGAAGGCGTGTCTTAATTAGCACGAGAAACTGATTGGTTATATCCACCTGTCGGGTATATTTGAGGTCTGTATTTGTGACAATCCATATGAATCTTAACGTGAAGGCGTGTCTTAATTAGCACGAGAAACTGATTGGTTATATCCACCTGTCGGGTATATTTGAGGTCTGTATTTGTGACAAGCCAAATGAATCTTAACGTGAAGGCGTGTCTTAATTAGCACGAGAAACTGATTGGTTATATCCACCTGTCGGGTATATTTGAGGTCTGTATTTGTGACAACCCAAATGAATCTTAACGTGAAGGCTTGTCTTAATTAGCACGAGAAACTGATTGGTTATATCCACCTGTCGGGTATATTTGAGGTCTGTATTTGTGACAACCCAAATGAATCTTAACGTGAAGGCGTGTCTTAATTAGCACGAGAAACTGATTGGTTATATCCACCTGTCGGGTATATTTGAGGTCTGTATTTGTGACAACCCAAATGAATCTTAACGTGAAGTCGTGTCTTAATTAGCACGAGAAACTGATTGGTTATATCCACCTGTCGGGTATATTTGAGGTCTGTATTTGTGACAAGCCAAATGAATCTTAACGTGAAGGCGTGTCTTAATTAGCACGAGAAACTGATTGGTTATATCCACCTGTCGGGTATATTTGAGGTCTGTATTTGTGACAAGCCAAATGAATCTTAACGTGAAGTCGTGTCTTAATTAGCACGAGAAACTGATTGGTTATATCCACCTGTCGGGTATATTTGAGGTCTGTATTTGTGACAAAATAGCCAAACTGAATCTTAACCATATGAATCTTAACGTGAAGGCGTGTCTTAATTAGCACGAGAAACTGATTGGTTATATCCACCTGTCGGGTATATTTGAGGTCTGTATTTGTGACAAGCCAAATGAATCTTAACGTGAAGTCGTGTCTTAATTAGCACGAAAAACTGATTGGTTATATCCACCTGTCGGGTATATTTGAGGTCTGTATTTGTGACAAGCCGTGAAGGCGTGTCTTGAATCTTATGAATCTTTGGTTATAACGTCGAATTTGAGGTCTGTGTCTTAACGTGAAGTCGTGTCTTAATTAGCACGAGAAACTGATTGGTTATATCCACCTGTCGGGTATATTTGAGGTCTTTGTATTTGTGACGTGTCTTAATTAGCACCAATATGAATCTTAACGTGAAGTGAAGGCGTGTCTTAATTAGCACGAGAAACTGATTGGTTATATCCACCTGTCGGGTATATTTGAGGTCTGTATTTGTGACAAGCCAAATGAATCTTAACGTGAAGAGGTCTGTGTCTTAAATTAACGCACGAGAAACTGATTGGTTATATCCACCTGTCGGGTATATTTGAGGTCTGTATTTGTGACAAGCCAAATGAATCTTAACGTGAAGTCGTGTCTTAATTAGCACGAGAAACTGATTGGTTATATCCACCTGCTGGGTATATTTGAGGTCTGTATTTGTGACAAGCCAAATGAATCTTAACGTGAAGGCGTGGCTTAATTAGCACGACCAGCTGACAGCGTGTATCCACCTGAAGGGGATAGATATATACGCTTCACAATGTGAAAGGTGAAGAAACGGTTTGCTTTGCCGAGGACGTGCCGAGGACGTGTGCGGAAAGCAATGAGAATGAGCCTTGAGTGATTGGATGCGAGCTGATGGTCAGGGCTTTTGAAGTGCGATCACGCGTGTGGACATCTCACTCAACATAAAGTCCCCTGTCTCTGCATAAAGTCCCCGCCTTTGATATGAATGATATTGATTAAGGACAAATACACGTGATCTACGTGACACTTTCGTTGTTTTCAATGACACATTAACGATCGATGTTTCGATCTATCCAATACTGTAAAGTTGTATATACCCATGAGACTTGCTAGGGCACACATATTCGTTTCACACTCTGTTTTGCAATACAGTAAGTACACATTCTTTATTCTTTATATATTTGGTACGATTTGTGAGATACATGTCATATGATACGACCAAAGACTTTTAATGCATTAACTGATGTATGCATGTAGGTGTATGCGTGTGTGTACGAGTGTATGTGTATGTGTTTATTATATTTGTTACATTCATGCACTTGCGTACATGTTTTTGATGACTTAACCTTTAACCAGTTTGAGTTACCTTGCTTCGTTACACAAAAGTAATACTATTCTTTCATTAACAGATTGCCCATGATGTCAGCAAACACAACCACATCCCACCATGAAGCTATCTTGGTCCAGCGAGACGACAGTTATGCAATACAGGTTCTACCGGCCATCTTGATCCTCGCTGTCCTGATGTTACTGGGAGTTGTCGGCAACTCACTCGTATGTTACGTCTACCTGATCAAACTCAAGCGGAATGTCGTCACTTACTTTATTTCCTCTCTGGCCTTTCTGGATTTACTAAACTGTGTCATCAGCATCCCTTACGAAATCGCAGTGATGAGATACAATTACACATTTGGCACGTCAACCGCCTGCATGGTAGTGCCAGTGATGATCTACTTTATATCGATAACGTCAGCATTCGTCCTAGTGGCGGTAGCCGTCGACCGATTCCGGAAGATTTGTAAAGCACTCAAGTTGCAAGTAACTACATTTATGGCAAAAGTTGCTGTGTTTGGCTGCTGTGCTGGAGGTGCTGTAGTTTCAGTGCCTATTACCATCCTGTACGGACCAAGCACCATTACAACACATGACTTCATCAACGGTTCAAGATGCAGCGTTGCGGATGAATACAAAGGAACTACTTTTCAAATAGTCTACCACGGCATAGAGTTCCTCATCTTCCTCATGTGCACAGCTTCTTTAATTGCTCTGTATGCGTTCATATGGCGACAGCTTGCACGGCAAAGACGGTTCAAGAATGATATGTCTTCACCAAGAAAACGTAACGCCTCTGTGACAACAAGAGATATTGAGAGCACAACAAGCGAAACATCATCAACTTGCGAGACTTGGGCTGGAGTGTTGCCAATGCCCAATGAACAATTAATTGATCAGAAGACTGGTGCTTCGGTTTCATCGTGTCCTCCTGCTGACGAGTCAGCGAAAGACGACGAAGATACAAAACAGTGCAGAAAAGGCACGAGTCCACATCGCATGTCAACATCTATTTACAGACGTAATACGATGACATCGCCACAGAGCAAGAGAGCGCGCAAGACAACGATGATGTTGTTTATGATCACGTTGGTGTTTGTGTTGAGTTTTCTGCCGCACCTTGCAATAATGGCAGCTGCAGCTAACAACGAACACCTCTACAGTAGTCTTCAGGGGGCACAGATCGCGGCGTACAACCTGTTTGAGAGATCCTATCTGTTCAACAGCGCCTTCAACCCAATAATTTACAGCTTTTTCAGCGACAAGTTTAGGAGAGAGCTTAAGGTCATATTTGGGAGACGTTGAAATATAAGAACGGTGGGACTCTTTTGATAGTTGATTTGAAAGAGGAATATGAGTTAACCGAGTGATCCATCAGTAAAAGGAGTGGACATTGATGGTTAAATCGATTGATCTGAGCAGGACCCATATTCACCAAGGTATTTTATCAACATTTATACATTTATTATGGCATACATAAATAAGTGTATTAGCAATCTGGATAATTGTGTTAAGGTAAGAGTTGCATACGACGCAGCTTCGTCAGCCTGCCCATAAGAGCCGCTACTGAAATGAAATGTAAAATTATACAGATTCTGAATCAAATTGGCTGTTTCTAATGTACCCCCTCAAAGAAAAAACAACAAAAACAAAAACAAAAAAAGCACACAAACAAAAAAGAAAATAATAATCGACTTCTGAAGAAATATGTACAAAACGATCCACTTATCACTGATAACGAGTAATTTGACATTGTCAAATATTATCATATAATTATTAATCTTTGTGGGATGCCAATGTAGATTAAATTCACAGAAAGGGACCGCCGGCATAAAGCTGGAATACTGCGGAGTGTGGGGTTAAACACCAACCATCCAAACAATCACAGAAAGGGTCAATAAAGACGATTTTATTCGTTGTCAGTAAGACTGAAAAGTCCTTGATTTAACAAAGCTCCGCTATTTCAACTTTCAGTTTCCACAACTAATATGGGGGTCTATTTTAAAGAAAAATATTACACACAAACATGTAATAATGAAATAATACTAAAGTAATCGGCTTTCCTTCACCCGCATGTATTATCAGCAGGTAACTGAAAACAGAAATGTGAGCTTTCACTTTATGGTCCTCGCCTGAACATGCCGAAAACAAAAACAAACATACAATGTCAATCACTCTTTTAAGTCTTTCAGTTTCCTCAACAATCAAGCAATGTGTTTTGTTCCGTAAAACACATTTACGAAACTTGATTTCCTTTTAATTTTTTACTCCGGTTATTCCCTTTTGAACACGTTTGTTTCTCTAGTTTTGCTAATGAGTGCTCTTGTGCTGCTTTCATGTGTTTGTTGTGTGGGTCAGTGTGTTTAACGTGAAGGACGTTACTGTTACCGTTGGCTTTTACGATGTAAGCTGGGGCGGTGGGGTAGCCTAGTGGTTAAAGTGTTCACTCGTCAGGCCGAAGACCCGGGTTCGACACCCCACATGGGTACAATGTGTGAAGCCCATTTCTGGTGTCCCCCGCCATGATATTGCTGGAATATTGATAAACGCGGCGTTAAACTAAACTCACTCACTACCATGTAACACTTTGGAATACTTTGGTGTTATGGCACATTCACTCACTCAATCATTTCTAAGACCAATTTTCTCGTGGGGCACTGTCACTCACGCTTTACACCCGTGAGATCTAGGTTAGAATTGATCTTCAGTAACCCATGCTTGTCGTAAGAGGCCACTAGCGGGATCGGGTGGTCAGTCTCGCTGACTTAGTTCACACAGGTCATTGGTTCCCAATTGCGTAGATCGATGCTCATGTTGTTGATCACTGGATTGTCTGGTCGAGACTTGATTTGTTTTACAGACCGTCACCATATAGCTGGAATATTGTTGAGTGCGGCGAAAAATTAAACTCACTCACTCATTCACGCTTTCTATGAACTAGATATATATGTTGTATATTTTGCTTAAATTCATATACTTCTTGTAGCCCTGTGCAAAACTAATGTCGACACACGTTGAAAAATATGTGCACGTTTTCATAATAGAATACACAAGACCCCAAAATGTGAAATAAGAATAATCTCCCAATCGGAGACTGAGGGAACATAATTGAGCCAATGCCGATTTAATGATGAATAGTATGATAAAGTCTATATAGCTTTACATCTAGCTGCGTATACAGAAGCCCACTTGGCCTGGCGGACCAAGTTTAGTGAATGACGATAACATCGTTAGAAAGCCTATTCGAGTGAACCTAATTTAATGTCAGCAGTTATTATGGAAAAAATGCTTTATTTGTCTTGTGTTATGTTTCTTAACGGATTGCTATAGTAGAAAAATATATCGGCTCATGATCGGTTTCTTTTGAATTTGAGTATATCCATTTGCTATATTACAAAAATATATCGGCACGTGATCAGTTTCTTTTGACTTTGAGTACATACATTTGCTATATAACAAAACATATCGGTAAAAATCAGTTTCTTTTGACTTTGAGTATATACATTGCTATATTACAAAAGTATATCGGCACATGATCAGTTTCTTTTGACTTTGAGTATATACATTGGCTATATTACAAATATATATCGGCACATGATCAGTTTCTTTTGACTTTGAGTATATACAATGATTTTATATTTTCACGTGGACACTTCACATGAAGTAGCTTTTCCGTTGTACAGGAAGTGACAAATTTCATGTCATGGTCATGTGATGCTGTCGTTGACATATTTGACATAGTGTCAATTGTATGTGAATATGTTGTGAAATATTTGAAATGTCATGTGACCCTTCAAATGTGCGTAATCCGTTCCTGATATTCAAATATAGCCACCTGAATTAAGAATAAGAAACTTGTTCTATTTGTGATTAAACAATTACTCTGTTTCACATGTTCGTTCGTTCGTTTATTTTATGTTCGCCTCACTCAGTAACCTTGAGTATCAATCTATGGAATACGATCATATGCTGTTCCTGGCCACTTGATTCCTTAAGTCAAGCACCGGTTGCTTGGTAATTGACCTTACACAATATTATATTTGTAGAGTGGCTACAATACGTTACTATGGGATTGTATGGCAAACTATACCAAAAGCATGCTGGTAGTCACTGGTGGTCTGCTTTATACTGGAATATCTACAGGCGGTCATGATACAACTGAAATATTACTGACTGCGCCGTAAAATAACACTTTGTCGACGAAAGTTTCGTCGCATGCCGGGGTGGAGGCACGTACGTGCAATCATGATCGACACTCGCCGGTCATAAAAACCAACAGTCTTTGATGAGTTACAGGTCGTAGGTAGCTAAGAAACATAGCGTTCACTGACATGAACGCTATGCAGCACCTCCATAGGCCGCAATGGTGGAAATCCTTTGTCGCACTTTCGCGCACTCGTTACGTTTTTTGCGCACGAAAAACTTATATGAATTACTTCTTTGTACTTATACCTACACGTGCGCCCTATTTTCGTTATCAAAATATCCAAAAATATATCTTTACAACCCATCAAACATCTCAGTCGATCGCTCACATATGAGCGGGGCCATTTTGAATCACGTGACCTGTGACGCCAAGGGGATATCCCTCCCAAAAATAGTAACACACGTGTTCCATACCTCGTTGCTTGTTGACAACACATTTTCATACATTTTAGGCAATTAAAACGATTGTAGGGAGATTTTCATTTCCAATCTAGACTGACTGACCACACCTGCTTTTTCAACAGCTGTTTTCAAAGGAATTGCTGGTGAGTTTTCAATGATAATATTAGATTATTGCTGTCACCTTCACAGTTCCATGGGTGTCTCTGTACTACTCATGAATATTTGCCTACAAAACACAGTTTACTAATAAGACTTATTAGAATTTAGGAATTAAATAATTAACGAGTTCACGAATCAATTATCCATAAATTTCATTTGTACCATATAACCTTAAATATTTCTCATTTCACATTTCTCCTATCTTCATCATCATATTTATTTCCTCTTTGGATAGCAGATTAAACTGGCTTGTCCGCCATTTCAAACTGTTGCGTAACTGTCTACTTGCAAGAAAATAAGTAGGTCAGACGATTCCATTATAGTGTGGGCAGGGGGGTACAGTAACACGGCACACAAAACAACAGGCTGGTTTCGGTCGTGTGGAGTTATGATTATAAAAACTAAGCTCTTAGGTGTTACATTATTGCATTGAATAAACAGTAGTTCGTTTTGTTTGGACAGAATATTTTTTATGATGCAAAGTTAAAAAACATACGAACGGGCACCTACCACTCCCTTCACTGACGAGTTCAATTCGCCTCTCGTCCCATGCCGGATTACGCGGTGTCTTCCGCCAGACGAGGAAGTTCGATTTTAAATCGGTTATTGTAGAATGGAGATAAACGCGTTCGGCTTCAAATGAAATTTAGAGACTATCAATTCGGTCTAACATTCATCTAATTTCCAAACACAGTACGTTTATCTCCTAAACATGACTCTTATTAGTCCAACAAAGTCCCGTCATGATTCCTTGAGGGGCGGCTGGGTAGCCTAGCGGTTAAAGCGTTGGCTCGTCACGTCGAAGACCCGGGTTCGAATCCCCACATGGGTACAATATGTGAAGCCCAAGTACTCAGTGTGTGATGTTGCTGGAGTATTGCTAAAAGCGGCGTAAAACCAAACTCAGTCACTCAGTCAGTCATGATTCCTTGAACCATCGATACAAGCGCTCGGAAAATATCTCGCCCAGAATGTTAATGCCACAAAGCGGCGACACAATCATGATGTTATGTTCGTTTGTTGGTTGTTTAACGCCACATACAGCAATATTGAAGCTATATGGTGGCGGTCTGTAAATAATCGAGGCCCGACCAGACAATCCAGTGATCAACAGCATGAGCATCGATCCACGCAATTGAAATACGATGGCATTGATATGTCAGCCAAGTCAGCAAGCCTGACCACCTGATCTCATTGGTCGTCTCTTACTTCATGACAAGCATTATTGCTGAAGATCATTTCTTACCCGGATCTTCACGGGTCCATAATGATATATAAAACAATGTGTCGATCGTAAGGAAAGTAGGAAAATACTTACGAGGGGCGATCAAAAAGTATGTAGAATCACCAAGAAAACGATACAAATGTAGTTGTTTTTATGTTTTTTTTCTACACATTATCTGTCAAGCTCAAGCAGTTTGGTTTTGCTATGTTCCAGTCTCACGATCCCCATTTTGTTTGACCTTTTATCTTGGTACCCTAAAAACCAGCAAAATCTACAATAAATGCATCAAAAACTTCAGAAAACAAAATATGCAAGATATATTTTGTGTGTTTGAGATTGATAGAAGTCCCCTAGAATCACACTTAGATATTAAAGTTCATAAAAAAGCAATTTGAAATTACAATCGCTTGTTAAAGTGACTCCCCCCTTCATGTTGACTGAAAGAGCTTGTTTTGGAGACACTACCCATCCCCCTTTCAGATGACATAATCATAAGGGCATAGCTTATTCTTATGTTTTCACTTATGCATACATGATGCCAAGGGTTCTAAATACTGAATGGTCACACAAGTGTCAGCTCACAATATATTGTAAACAGTGCCAGCTCGAATATCTGGACACAATGTTTAATGATGG